TATAGATGTATGGAAATGGATTAATTTAAGCTATAAGAACAGTTAGCAAGAAGCCTGCCACGGCCATACAGTTTGTATGCAATATAAGTCTCTGTGTTTACTTGGTTGGGTCTGAGTGGCTGTGGGACTGGCGGGTGACAAAGATTTGTCCTGACTGTGGGCAAGGCAGGAAAACTCTAGCTACAGACCATCCCACAGCACTCCAGCTTTCTGGGCTTCACCTCAAAGGAACGAGCTTCCATAAATCCACCTGTCTGAAAAGCTGGAAAGCAGGTGGCAGGTAGAGGGGCCCTTGTAGAGTGGGAGGATGAGGTTCACTCTGTCCCTCTCTCTGTGCCTACCTGGATGTGCTTCAGAATCCTGTGGGCACACCAGTCCCCTAGTTCTGTGTACTTGCTGGTCAGTTCCTCCCCAAGCTACTCCACCAGGCTGAGCAGCATACCACCATGGGCTCTGTGGCCAGGATCCCTGACTGCTGAGGCCAGCCTAGATCATCCAGGTCCTCTTGTACTCAGTGGACAATCTGGTCCATCATCTCCACAGCTTCATGTGGTGGTATTGTGTTCCCCAAAATATTGTGCACCCTAATAAACTTATCTGGGGTCAGAGACAGAACAGCCACTAGAAACAGAGGCCAGAAAATGGTGGCACTCACACCTTTAATCCTAGCATTCCAGAGGTACAAATCCCTCTGGATCTCTGTGAGTTCAAGGCCACATTGGAAATAGCCCGGTGTGGTGACTCACACTTTTAATCCCAGAAAGTGAGCCTTTAATCTCAGGGAGTGATGGCAGAAAGCAGAAAGATATATAAGGTGTGAGGACCAGAAACTAGAAGCATTTGGCTGGTTAAGCTTCAGGCTTTTGAGCAGCAGTTCAGCTGAGAGCCATTGGGATGAGGACACAGAAGAGGAAACAAGATCAGCTGAGGAACTGTTGAGGCGAGGAAGCTGTGGCTTGTTCTGCTTCTCTGATCTTCCAGTGTTCACCTCAATAACTGGCCTCAGGTTTGATTTTATTAATAAGACCTGTTAAGATTCCTGTTACAGCTTCATTCTGTGGGGAGACCAGGCAGAGGCTGCATGCCTTGTCCCATTTCTCTTCCCAAGGAAGGACCCAGGAATTAACCTTCAGTGGAGGAGGAAAGGTTGTGTCCCTTTGTGCTCTCCAAAGACACCTGCTTTCTCTGCTGCTAAACAAGCACAGCCTTACAGCCAAGCACTAGGGCTCAGGCAGATCCACCCCACCCTGTCTTGAAGTGGCTCTTGGATGCAGGCCACTCACAGTCAGTCTGGACATGATTTGGTAACACAAAGGGCCCTGGAAGGAGGGGGTAACCTCTTCCAGTTGAGTAAAGGACATTATGGTATGGGAGGTAGGACTGAGGTGAAGGAGACTTCTGGGTAGGGGATGGCACATAGTCAGGATGATAATATAGTACGGTAGAAGGAGGCATTACCAGAAGCCTCTAGACTGTGGATCCAGAAGCAGGAGCTCATGATTCTGCAGAATTGACAATAACACAGGAAGAATTTAAACTTCTGGATGAAACTGGCATGTATGGGACAGAGGACAGGGATGAACAGAAATGTAGGAGCAGAGCTCCCTCCCATACATGCTGTAGCTGAGCCTGGTGCCTGATTTTAGAAATGCTAGAGTGATGACCTTTTAGTACCAGCTCCTTGGAGCACAGAGTGGCCTGCTGGTCAGCAAGCAACTGTGACATTTGGTTGGGGATCAGATTGATAGGATTTTCACATCTGATAACTCATTTCATCTTGGTTCAGTAAGAGTGGTCCTGCCCGGGACAGAGAGAGTCAGAAGCAGGGATGTCAATGAAGCTAAGCTGACAGAGGCAGGGAGGAACAGGGTAGGGGTGGGTCTGAAGCTACTTTAGATGAAGTGTAAATTGTGCCCACTAAAGTATATAAATCCCAAAAGCTTACGTGAACGCACATCTTGTGATTATTTTGTCATCCCCACCCCCACCTCCACCATCCCCCATCTCTATTTCGAAGATCTTGCCATGTGCTTTTGCATTTCTGGGGTCAAGCACACAGCAAGTGCTCAATAAATACAGATTGAATACAGGTCAGAAAGAAGATGAGAAGTGAGGAAGAAAAGGGATATTTCTGGTACATAGTGCCTGAAAAGTCTGTAATCATGTTATTTATTATATGGTTGGCACTTTGCTTTTTAGATAGAGTCTTGTTCTAGAGCTCAGGCTGGCCTGATCTTAAAGTCCTTCTGCCTCCACCTCTTGAGTGCTAGGATTACAGGTGTGCACCAACTACTGGCTCTGTGTGGTTACCCTTTAAGGAAATACATTTCCAGTGTATGCCTAACTATTGGAGGGCCTGTGGGGTGGGGTAGACAGAGACACAGATCCACAGTCTTCAGGAAAATGGGCCAGGAGACATGGGGGAAAGGAAGCTAAAATGTAATAAGCACCAAATCAGAAGTCATTCTATAAGCCAGTTGTCTCTGCTTGGCAGGCCTCCAGTTCCAAGTGGGCCAAGGCAGATGGTGTGATGGGTGTTAGAATTCCTAGCTACTCCCCAAGCTACATGACCACCCGTGCACTGTCCAGTAGCCAGGCAAGATACTTAGTCATCGTAGGGCCTTATGTCCTATGTAATCCATGTGCTGCATGATCACATAATCTGTGTGCAGTGTGATCATGTAATCTATGTGCATGTGTGGCATAGCTGTGTAAAGCCCATATGTGCATATGTGGGGGGAACCTATAAAAGTGGGTTCCACCTATTCCTCCCTGCCTTCCTGCATGGTCATTCCATAGGCCAATGCATACCTCCTCTCTATTCTTGTAATAAACTCTTACAGTGGGTTTTGTTGTACCTTGTGGCTTTTCTTGCACGGTAGACATTGCCGCTTAATAAATAACATTGAGCTGCTTAATAAATAACAATGGGAACTCAGGACAGAAAGAAGAGGGCAGTGCCTATACCAGCCCATGAAATGGCAAGCAGAAACTCCTTAGGAGGCTTCACATGATATCTCCAAGACATTTGAATATTTGAATGTTCCACTAAAGAGAGAGCCAAAAAAGCACATCCTTGTTTCCTCTAATGTCCTTTGTTTTGCTCTGAAGAAGCTGGTGATGGAGAAGCTACCAGGCTCTGCAGGGCAGGAGCACTAGGAGAGAGAGAGGAATTCTAGGCTGTGCCCCTCCCTCCCCCTATCAAGCTGCAAGAGCAAGCTTAGCTTATTCAAATGATCTGTGATTTTGTCTCATGCCAACTCAAGCTTGCTAGAACCAAGCTTATACACACTTATGGAAAAAAATAAATGGAATTATTAGTAACATACAAAACCAGGACAGCAAATGACAGGTTCATTCCTCACAACTAGTTTGCAAGCAGAGATAGGTAAGCTGGGTTTGGGACAGGTACACTGGGAAACAGTTGCTTGTCAGGTAGTTGTTATGCCATTCCCACCCAAATCTATAAGAATCGATGGCTGTGCTGATGGGATCCTAGAGTAAAAGATGATTAGGCATGCCTGGGTCCTTGCCAGAATCCAGGGAAAACAACTGGTTAGGGAGTCAAAGTTTTTTTTTAAATGTTGCTTTCCACTGGGTCTCCCATCCTGGACCTGGTCTTTCCCAAATGGGGCAGTTGCCTTCACATTTGAGTCCTTTGTATCTGAAGGAGTCAGGAAGCCTGGGGGCCCGATCTCTTTTCTGAGGCAATGTTCACGAGAGAGCCAGCCACTGCCTACCAAAAGAATTGACCCTCCATTACTGCCTTTTCTTAGCCTTGAGAGGTAGGTATACTCTCAAGTACAAGAACCCATTTGCCACCTCATTCTCAGTCTCTAATTGAGCAAGTCAAATCTGGACTTAGTAGGCTCTTTAATCTCAGATTCAGAGGTGGGTAGCCTGCACTAAGATGGAGAAAATGATGTTTCTGTTGAGAGCCAACTCATGGCTACAGGCAAACCTCCCTTCCCCTACCCCAGGACTGCCTGTCCCCTCTAGGTGTCCAGTAAGTACCAAGATCACAAATCCCTGCAGAAAGCAAGCTGGCAGTTGAGCTGGATACTAGGAGGGTGATTCTGTGTGGACTACTTCATGGTGAAGACAATGGAAAGAGCTGATAAATGAAGCCTGGACAAAATGAGTCAAGGAAGACCTATGCCATTTAACATATATTTATTGAAATCTACTAGATGCAAGGCACTGTGCTAGATTTGGTAGGAGATTAGACATGAAGGGCCACCCCTGTCTTCTTAGAGCTCACAATCTAATAGTTTGGGGAAGGCTGAGAAAAGGAGAGGAGAAGCAAAGTCCACAAACAGCTCTAGTACAAGGCTGATTATAGTGAGTGCCATAAAACAGGCAAGATAATCAGACTGGGGAAGAACAAGAATGCCCAAAACTGAATACAAACCTGTTAGAACACAACTACTATTCTCAAAGATATGCAAGTAGCATTGAGGATCAAGTTGAAAGATACCATTTTTATTTTTGAAAGTAAGTACCCAAACCAACATAATGCAAACTACAGAATGTAAGCACACTAGGAATAGAGGTGTTATCAATCCCCTAATCTAGCAGGTTTGCTGGGAACAGTAAAACACTTCCAAAATAGTAGAACAGGCTACAATGAACTCATCTTATAAGCCAAATGCTGTTCGGAAAAGGAACTACACTCATACAGAAGATCATGGGTTAAACCCAGAGACTAAAAGGCATAGAGTTCCACCCATCTTAGTGAACAGAATACCGTAACACATTTAAACAGGTGTTCATGTCAATCAAACTGGGATTGAGGCCAGAAATGCTGGGTGAGTAGAATGTGAGGAAAGCCAGCAATACAAGCCTTCTCAGGAAGCCACCCAATTGTTAAATGCAATTGGCTCTTGGCAAATTTCATAAAGCACAGACCCACTCAAGCTGGCTCAAGGCAAATGGGAGGAAGTATATGCACACATAGACTGATGCAGGCAGCTACCAGTAATCCAGGAACATATATCCAGGCCTCCCTCAGAGTGAGACCCAAGTAGCTCTGGGCAGGATAGCAGGAACATGTAGATCTCCACTATGGTTCTACTCACAGGGGCAACTCCTTGAAATACCTTGAGGCTTCAGCTTCCTCTGTTGCATTTCACATGCCTAAAAGGCCAAGTCCATCTTCTCCAATCAGGTCTGACTGATGGTTGCTGCCTTTGGGTCAGGTGTCTGGGATTGGCTTAATTAATGTGGCCCAAAAGTGGGGTGGTCAGTCATGTAGCACACAACAGGGCCACAGCCCAGGACTGCAGGCAGGTCAGGTGTCATGCCATTTCAAGCACAAAAATCAAGCACACAGACTGCAGTATCATGGGAGAAAGATGCTCACACTGTGATCTGGTGGGGATTATTCTGTAAATTCAAGAGTGGGTATTATACAACTAATTGATATAATACAATTAATTGATATAGTTAATCATAATAAGCAGCAAAATGGTAAACATTTGCTTTTTAAAAAATTTCAGCAAGTATTACAAACTCTAATAAAAGCCACACAGGGTTTCTTTCTTAATATTGTAAAGGAATGGATCTCTACAGGGAGCCAGAATTCTATGGAATCTTGCCGCTCTCCATTCCCTTTCAAGAATATATGTGGTTAGAAAGAAAAGTGCAATGAGGTAGATACATGGATGCATAGACAAGCACACACTTCAAGAAGCTTGCTCACATTTGCATGGGACATAGCAGTACACCTAGAGGGTCCAAGGAAAACCACCCCCACATTACCCAAGGCAAAGGATGCAACTATGAGCCACATGTTAAAGCCACACACTGATTGCACTCAGAGAAAAGAGTAGGGATTTCATCACCAACACCATTTAAAAGCTGATCCAATAATAGTCATGGAAAGAACACTGGTTTATAGTGTTAACTCTAAAACAAGGATTTGTTCAAGAAAAAAATTACAGAATCCAAACTAGAAAAGAGTCAAAGAGGGCAGGAAGGGATGTGAAGAGATGTCATGTCCTAGGGCGTGCCCTGGACAGTGATCACACTGCTGGCTTCCGAGTTAGTGCTACTCTAGACTTCAATAATACCTTTTGTCAACCTTGACAAATGATGAGCAAATGAGCAAGAAATGGCATATCCTTCAAGGCAAAGGTACCAGATTTGTTCCTTTTGATGTTAACATTCCTTACCCAATAGTTGTACAAAACATGTCCTAACAGCTCACAATGAGAAGAGTAATCTGAGAAAGAAGTGGGTCCAGACCAATTCACAAGAATCCACCAGAATTGAGACCACAGAGCAATAGGAGCTGCTGTGCAGCAACTGCTGTTGGCTTCTCTCAACCTGGAGAAGGCCCACAGAGCCACTATGGTGGCCTGCAGGCATTAGAGAGGCCCTTCTGGCCAAGATCATGGAGGTCCTTATCAGTCAGACCTTGGTTCCCAGGATGGGCTGGGAGCCCTTCCAGGCTATGCCCCTGGAGAGCCCAACCTCCCTTACTAGGCTGCCATAAGGGCACATTTTCTGGCCTTCCAACACCCCTTAAGGCACAACTGGAAACCCAGGCCACAGCCTTGGTGTTGCTATCTTCCCCACCTGCTGTTTCCCCTAAAGGGGGCTGCCTGAAGCAAGGCCCAACTGCAGGGTGGCCAGTTTTGATTTCTGTGCTCCATGGACTGTCAGAAGGGCTTCTTGCCCTCTAATCTTGTTTTATTGCCCCTCTTGGGCATGGCTATTCCAAGTCCTGGACCAGACCTGGTGCAACCAGGTGCAACTTCTGTGGCATGGCATGCAGGCTACAGGAGGAACACAGCTCCATTTCTCTCCAGGCCTATGTTGTCGTCCCTTAAATGTGGCTGCAGGAAGTGATGCCAGAACACATGGGTAAATTTCTCATCCTACTTACAGAAACTACAAAACTGATCTCTCTCATTCCAGAGTCACTTGATGGGAGGAGGATAGAGGTCATATAGCACACCAGTCAGGTGAGTCTTCTGTGTCTGAGATGTTTCTTAGGTGGAGCTGCTGCTCAATCACTGAATCCAAAATGTCAAGGCTCCTGATAGCTTGAAGGATGGCTGGCTGCTGCCAGATCATATTTGGACCATTCTATTGGTCTAGGTGAAGCTGAGCCCTATGGCTGGGGCTATAATGATGAGCAGTCACAGAGTGTTCTGAGCAATGTGTGGTGGACATGTCTCTAGTGTGCCTCAGTGGCCAGGTTGTATAGTCAAGTGCGGTCCACAGACATATATAGAGTCTGCATCTTGGATGAGGCATGGGCCTGCTTCTCTGGTCCATTCCCATTCAGCCTGCCCACCTTGTATGTTCACTTTCTTAGTGGACAAGGGATTTAGCTTTTCTTTTATAAGTAAGTTCTCAAAGAAAATGTCATCATATCTAAGTACTGAAGCAATGAAAGTCACAAGTTAACAGACAAGAAAGAATTCAAGGATATGTAAAAAAAAAAAAACAAAACAAACAACAAAAACCAAAGCCTGCACAACAAAAATGTAATAAAAGTACTAAAAAAAGCAAAGCAATAAAAATTGGAAAATAACATCACAATTGATATAGAAAGAACTACTATATAAAGTCAATATATCCAAAGGTAACTTGATATCTAGTCAAAGGAGATGAACGGATAATTTGCATGCAAGAAAACAGAAATAGTACTGAAGTCATAGCATGAAAGATGAGACTAATAGTCAGGAGGCCCGAGGGTCCATCCTTGTTTCTGGTACTAATGAGTTGTGGTATGTCAGCAAGTGACCTTCACTGAGTATACCTCCTTGCCAGGCAACATTCTTGCAGGCAAGGCACACTCCTGGAGAACCTTAGGAGGTAGGGACTACGACTACTCCCCACTTCACAGCTGCAAATGGAGGGTTGGAGAAGTACTATTTATGTCTAATATCAGGTGAGGATCTTCCAAGAAGGAGGAGTCACTTCACCTTAAGTCCTGATGATGTACTTCTCATTTGGGGGTGCTATCTCACTTTATTTTGAACAAGATGATACCATGTGAGGACAAACCCCAACTGATGTTTATGGTGTTCATAGGGGACATTGGATTAAATCGGCTTAGCAAAATGAGAGACAAAAAAAAGGTTTATCTCCAGCTCAATAAGTTTTACTAGGAGTGTGACCCAAGAGTAATGTATGAAATGCAAAAAAAGGCCTTTTTAAAGGCCATTTGGGAAAGCACCACTTTAAGTGGTTATGTTGTAGGTACAGTACTAATTTTAAAATACAAAGTAATAGTTCTAATGTTATATGAATATGTTTTTATGGCTTGAGAGGAAACTTCCGTTGAGAGCCTCATGCAGGGATTGTCACAGTGCTACCATAGCTCAAAACAGAGGGGACTGATGACTCAAACAGGTTCCCATGTTGGTGAGGTCAAAAATGCACATCAAGAATTAGAAACAAATGGAGTATGGTGAGAAAGAGTATTCTCTAAATTAATATATTATTCCATATAGTGTGATTTACAATATGTATCTTATAAACTAATAAATTAAATATTATGGCATTTGATCTATTTACATCCCTAAACTTTTATAAATTCAAGTAGGCCAAAAATCTTGGGGCAATTTTCCTTTCAAGAAAGGTGCATCATCATATTGATGCCATTTGAACAGTCCTCAGGGATAGAGCTTGAAAAGGACTTCTCATCTCCCTACTAGACCTCCATATGCAGATTTTTCTTCTCATTGTAGATGTGAAGATTAAAATACCTTGACAGTACTATCTGCCAGGAAAAGTAGCCAAGCTATGTTAAAATGGTAAAAGTTACCCTCAATAGTTGTAGTGGGAAACATGAACATTTATAAATTGCTGGTGGCAGTACAAATCATTCCAACCTCTCACACAATAAAATAGATAAGCACTACAAAACTGTTTATCTCCTTTGACTGGGCCATAGCCTCTGTGGACCCCTGCTATAGGTCCCAAGGCAATGTCTACTCCTGATGGGAGGGCTGGTGCTTCTGCAGTGCTGAGTGCCTCTTGAACACACGACCACACTCACTGCACTCACAGCGCCTGGCTCCACTGTGGATCCGCTTGTGGCGGCTCAGGCCTGAGCTCCTCCGGAAGGCCTTGCCACACTTGTCGCACTCATAGGGTTTCAGTCCACTGTGGATGCGCCGGTGCTTGATGAGGTCAGAAGGCCCCCTGAATGCCTTGCTGCACTCACCACATGCGTAAGGCCGCTCACCACTGTGGATGCGCTCGTGCTCCAGCAGGCTGGAGCTCTGGCGGAAGGCCTTGCCGCACTGGCTGCACTCATAGGGTTTCTCACCCGTGTGGATCCTCCGGTGCTTGGTAAGCTCTGAGCTCCTCCGGAACAGCTTGCCGCAGTGAGGACAGCCGTAGGGTTTGGCGCCGCTGTGGATACGCTGGTGCTCTGCCAGGCCGTTGACACCACGGAAGGACTTGCCGCAGTCGTCGCAGTCGAAGGGCAGGTGGCCCGTGTGCATCCGCTGGTGCTTGAGAAGTTCCTGGCGGTCCAGGAAATCCCTGCTGCACGCCTTGCACGCAAAGGGCTTTTCCGAAGTGTGAAGCTTCTGATGTCGAAAGAGGTGGGTGTTGGCTTTGAAAGACTGCCCACACTCCTCACAATCAAAGGGCTTCTCTCTGCTGTGCACCCTCAGGTGCTGACTAAGACCTGCATTCTTCTTAAACCTTTTCCCGCACTCCTCACACTCAAAGGGCTTCGCCTCCCTCTCCATTTGCTCCCTCTTTTCCAAGGCATCTTCCAGAGCCTGACTGGGGCCAGGCTGGGGCTGAGCAGCCAGAGCTTCATGGCTCTTCCTGTGCTCATTAAATTCTGATACCTCCCTGAAGACCTTCCCGCAATTGCCACACTCCCAGCCCTTCTCCTCACTGTGAACCCTCTGGTGCTGAACAAGGAGCACTTTAAGGCGGAAGGTGTCCCCACACTCTTTACATGCAAAATGGTGTTCTATGGGCAGATTTTGTGGGCTCCCCCCCCTCCCCCCAGAGTCCCCATTCTGTTTGACCTCAGCGCTGGGGTCATTGGCCCTCGGGGAGCTCGTGGACGCCATCTCTTGCAGCTGGGCTTCTTCACCCATCTTCTGGTGGGAGGTCACAGAGGTGCTTTCTATAATAATAAATGATAAATGAGACACAACAGTTTACAGAAGGCTTGGGAAAAAGGCTACTTTCCTTTGTTGATAATCCCCTCTCCTGCAACTGCTGAGCACCAGTAAGGGCCTGTAAACCATCAGAAGCAAGCACCAGAAGGAAATGTGGGAGAGTACTGATTGTGGACATTGCTTATCAAAGGAGCTGTGAAAATGCCTTTGCTTTTAGCACGGGGATAGTCACACCTCATTACCAGAGCTTCAACTGGGCCCTCTACCCTAATCCTAGACCCCACAAGTTTAGCTGGTCTTCCTGAGTCTAACTTCAATCTCAAGAGCTCAGTAGCCCCCTCCAACCCAAATTTCAACCCCTCTCCCAAATTTCCTCATGCTTCTTCACATTTCCTTTATGCTCACCAGCGTGCTTAGTGTGATCTGTGCTGAGGGATGGATCTGATACCAACAGAACTTGTCCTTGTGACAGGTGAGATACCAAAGCAGGACTCACAACAGGAACTCCTGTTAATGGAAGAAGGCAGCTGATAAGTATGGAGGAACAAGGAAAGAGCTGTTAAGGAAGATCCCCTCTAAATCTCCTGAGCTGTCTATGACTTTATTATGTAAGTCATACATGCAGTACAAATGCACTTCCCAAGGGCCAGCTCCTTCTGGGGACCGTAGAAAGGCAGGCTCTGGTCCCTTAACAGAGGCCCCAGAAAAACAGTAGGTAGCATCCTGGCCAGATGAACTTACCCCATTGTCCACCAAGCCATTCTAATACCCCACCACTGAATGCCATGCTCTTCCCAGGCCTCTACAACTCTTAAACCAAACTCTTAACAGTTCTTTCTTCAAAAATCCCCCACCCCATGCAAACACCTGATGGATAAACAAGAGCTCTCAACAATGAGCTCCAATCAACTAGCCATATGGTTGGTATAATTTATGTGTGTGTATACAATATGCACATATATAGTATATATACTGCATTTATTTGTATATATTGATATAATTGATATAATTTGTCATCTCAGCCTTATGGTTAAAATCAAGTATAGTATCTGTTCTGATCAATTTAATGTCTGATATGTTTTTTATCTGAAGACAATATATTAAATTTTGAAAGTACTCTAAATTATGACAGGTTTGATCTAATTTTTATTTTCACATTTATTTCTTTACTGTATGTGACTATGTGGGCATGTTCATACTATGGTGTGCTTATGGAAGTCAGAAGACAACTTGCACAAGCTGATTGTCACCTCCTACCTTGTAGATTCTGGGGATTGAACTTAGGTCAGTAGGCTCTGTGGCAAGCACCTTTCCTGCTCAGACATTTCACTGACGACTGTTCTAATGTCTTTCAAGTGAAAGACAGGAATGGAGAGATCTTTCCATGCCAAGATGAGTTGGAGGAATCTGTTGTTGAGTGTTCTCAATAAGGAAGAGCAAAGTAAAGTTGTGTATGGGTGGCCATGTATCCCCAACTGCACTTTCAGTAGATGGTGAGTCTGAGAAGTTCTGGGGGCATCCTTACCAATGGAGGTCACAGCCCTGGAATATGCCAGTGCCTGCTGCTCCGGGCTCAGACTCAGACTCAGCCACTCCTGTTCTGTGAGGCGCCACGGTACAATATCAAAGGACACCAAATCCTGAAATAAATCACATTGATAGTCAGTCTTTTAACCTAATCTGTAATGAGGCAGCATGGCACCAGTGATGCCAGGGGAAGAGGTTAGGGCCTGAAGTATTCACATCTGTGTATGTTGCTAATGTGGAGCTCTAAGCACAATCCCAACGAGTCCTAGAAAGAAAACATGATCAGGCTCAAGGAGACCTGGGCTGTCTGACCCTGGGACTCCCACTGTCTTCCCAAAGGACACAGACTTAGATCTCTCACATATACAATGGGCATCATAAGCACACTGGGCATTCATTCCTTGGCAGCCTGTGGGAGAGAAGCAGAGGACAGGAAGGAAGGCAGTAGCCAGGGCTCATACTCTGCTGCATGTCATGCTGGGCAAAGAGGCAAAGGCTGAGGCCAAAACCAGGGAGCAGTGACAAAATCTCAAGCAAGGCAAGAGGGAAGCACAGCTCACCTGGGCCTCCGGCATCTCAAGAGGGACTGCCAGGACCTGGTTTCCTGGAGCTCCATCTTGGGGAAGGGCAAGACCTTGGGGAGCAGGTGGAGCTAAGGAAAGTGAAAAAAGCTGTGAGTGACAACAGCCCTATTTCTTGGTCCCCAGGGATGGCATTAGTGACTTCCTATTCCCTAGTTTTAAATCTTACAGAGTCTTCTCTCCCAAGTGGGGCTGAATGGCAAGGCAGAACATGAGTATGCCTGAGAAAACATTTATGCAACAGTAGGAAAGTAGGCTGGCAAAGAATTAATATAGGTAGGCCAGAGGGAGGCAAGATAAGACAAACAAATGCTAGCCTAGGCAGAGTCAAAGACAGCTACAGAGAGTTGCTGGCAGGAACACTAGCTGCCAGAGACTGGCTGACTACAGGGTTTCCTTAAAGTAAGCCTGGATGAGGCCAATAAACACACGATGCAGGAAGGAAGCACACTAAAGAGAGTACCAGAAGAAATAACTCAGAGATAAGGGGTCCTTTCAGGGACACCTGAAACTGATGGGGCCACTGAAAGGAAGAGAGATGGCAAAGAGCAAGAACTTGGACTTTACTAGCAGTGGGGCCTTTAAAAGCACACTCTAGTGTAACAAGTCATTGGGAGAAAACCAGGAGGAACCCCCTTTATGTTATTCATCAAAATGGGAGGTTGGAAAAACAGCTGGAGAAAAATACTTCTAAGAAAAGATCTTCAAATATTACATTGATAAAGAAAAGATCTGAAGTGTGTGTGTGTGTGTGTGTGTGTGTGTGTGTGTGTGTGTGTGTGTGTGTGTGTGTGTGTGTG